GAAAAAACCACAGGCCTTCCCCCCGCCGCCTGCGCGTAACCACTTCTGCTACGACTGCTGGGTCCTCGCAGTCCGCCGCTGTCTCCATGGGTTCCACTGTCACACTCCTCACCGACAAACTCCTCGTAGCCAACAAGATACGATCAGCCTCCTCAGCTAGGCTCCTGTAGTCGCCGGTGGCCAGATGCGGAGAATTAGCCAATGTTGCGCGCACAGACGGAGGAAACTGACGCAGGAAAATGTGCGGAAAAAGGAAATCACCTTCGTCAGAACCCAGCAAAGACAATATATTGTTCATAAGATCCACAGCCGTGCCATCACCTAAGTGAAACAGTGCTTCTACGTGTTGGAATCACGAAGCCGGGTCGTTCTGCCAAAATTCAGGAAGCTTCACGGCCGCAGCAAAAGTGACCGGCTGTGAATGTTCCGCTGACATGCCTGAAGAGGAGACACGATCCTCTGCAGCTTCGAACACGGTCAATTCGGGGTCACCAATGTAGCAGGGCGGAGAAAGCGCAGGAGACGGGAGTGAGTTTACTCTTTATTCCAAAAGCGCAGAACAACTGAACTTCAACAACTCAGCGTGCCAAAACATAGGTACCGTAAACCACGCCCCCAGCCCACAGTCCTGTAGGGTGAGAGGCATCCCTTGCAGTGCCTGCCACAATGTATAAATAGACATAAAGAGTTCACAATGGAGCTCACTCCATACATAAGATGCTATGTGTACCACCCATTATGGATGAGATATACTTTTATTCAGCTTTTTAGTCACGTCCTGTCATTATTTTTGACTGTACAGTAATAAAGCAGTTCATTTTTCTCCTGGTTTCTCCAACCAGGATAGTTTCACTGGTAACTGCTGTGACACCAGTGGGGGTTGGCTCTTCAATGGCAGCCACACTCTTCCACAATCATGTCTTCATGATGACGCAGGGTTAGATCATCATTCTCATAGTGCAGCATGGAAAGTGGACTCAGGCGAGTCGGCACACAGGACGGACAAGTCACTCTTTCTGGATGGTGATGACGCAAAAGGCTCTGGAAGAATACGAGAACACATAGTCAGATTAACAAGTACGGGATTATTTGTGGTTATTTAAGGTCTTGAAGAAGTTCAGAGAAATCACATTAAAGTACCATCTTACCTGCATGTACGCGTGGTTGGTGGGACTGAAGGAGTCGTCTAGTGGTGTGGGACACTCTCCCTCACAGCGATAGGCATTAAATCGGTTATGATGTACAATCCACTCATCCCAGCCAATGTGATCAGAGTCCACCCACATGTCCACCTTCCGACACAGAGGTCTGTGGACGGGCTCGGCTGTAGGTGGCGCTCCGTTGACCATTATCAGTGGTTCCATTCGGTTTCTTTTATGTCGCCTACTCGGACTGTCATTGCTGGACTTGTCTGTGGTCACATACTTTGACTTCTCCACAGTGTAAATTATGCTATAGGCTGAGTGACCTTCCTGTGCCACATTGGGTTTGGAGAAGATGACCATCATGACCCGGTTCATTGCTTGTATTTTTCTTTGTCTTTGTCGAAGCTCCAAATGCTTGAATACGCTCATATGAGTTTCTTCTCTTTCTTCCCCAGCACCACTTCCGTGCTCTGGCCCATATTCTCCTGAGGCCTCCTGGTTGGACACCCTGTCACTCTGGTACAGCCAGTATTTTAACAGTGCAGTCACATTGAAAACCTTCCAGGAAGACTTTGTGCTGTTCAGAGAGGTATTGAAGCTCCCCAGAAAAAGGGGCTCCTCTTGGCAGGAAGTGCTTCCCAGGCCACAGCTCTGTTTTTGGGAGTGATACAAATCCACGGTGGCATGCTTGGATGCCAAAAAAGCTGAAAGTCCTATTCGCAGTTCTGCCAACTGCATGAATTCTCCAGCAGAGACAGACAAAAAGTCAAATGTGACGGTCCATTTTTCACCAACTTGGTGGCAACCTGAAATCAGGACACATACATGAGAACAGAAGTCAAACAAAGACGTCTCTGCCCAAACCAGATTCCTGGACAAATATCAAAACACTGCAGTGGGAGGGTGAACAGAGCAGGATGTGTATTGAACCCCCCCAGTGTAAGGATGTCTGAGGGCTAAAATACACAACCTGTCACATAAAACAGAGAAACAGAGTGAAATAAGCATTCTGACATTGGCGAGTTGTTAAAAAAAAAAAAAAAAAAGCAGGTACTGATAACAGTGTGCACCAGCCTGGTTGTGATTCACAAAGGAGATACCAACATACACTATGTTACTTATAAAGAAAAAAAATCCCACTCACCTTTAGCCATGAGGCTCAGGACAGAGTTAGCTCTATACGGCGGATTGTTGCTCTGAGCAGTGACGTCATTGACAGATACTGAGGCGAAGGAGTCAGCGTTTCTGAAGGAGCGGTACAGCTGCATCATGTACAGAGAATATCTGCTGCGGTGGCTGAACGTGAGGTTTCTGAGCGGTGAACTTCTCTCAAGCCCTGTGTGTGATCTTTGACCCTGAGTGGACAGAACAAACCCTAAAGTGCTGATGAGTGTGCAGAAAACTGTCAACACTCGGTTTTCCATTTTTGTAAATGAAACTGAGCAGAAAAATCCACAGAAACTGTAAGGACAGATAGTCTGGAGGGTTCCTTTATCCAGCTGGTCTCAGGCTGCTGTGTGCAGACAGAGATCCAGACAAGCCCTTTTATAGTGGACAGCTGCCCTTTGATGACCCCTGACCACTCCAGGCATCTCAACGGCCCCTCTGATCATCAGAGCACGTCACAGGGACAGGGAGAAGTAAACCTTTAGCCAAGGTCATTGTCCTGTTACACATGGAGCCTAATGCTTTTCAAATGTTAAAAAAATGACACTTTAAATCCTGTACAGTCATTGCCACCCGTTAAACATTGTGTTTAATGGAACCGTGGCACAGGTCACACAGTTTCATGTGCCTTCATGTGCCTTCAATATTAAAATAAACAACACAGAATATTTTTATGTAGAGTTTTTTATTGTTTTTTAAAAGCCAAATACAACATCAGTCTGGAATGTCTGTATACAGTACCATGCACCACCTTCTGTGGTCAACAATGAAATCGGTTTCCTAAATGTAACAGTAGTCATGTCACAGTTGCAGTACATAAATATATATTTAAATTAAATCTATACCAAGCATTTAAAACGTGATTCTATATCAGAACTAATTCTAGTTTCAGATGATGAAACGAGTGTAAGAAATAAAACACATTTTAAGGAACAGTATTAACAAGTCAGTGTGATTAAACTTCCTACATCCTACATCGTTCACAGATGTTCTTTTAGCCTAACCCTAACCCTAAAGTGAAGGTCTACTACGTTTGTGCCCAGACTAGTACTGACTATGAGTCATATGGTATTGGGCCACAAAGATTTTATTGATAATTATTGAAAATGATGATTCCCCTCAAATTTTAGTTTCACTTGTACACTGATTCAACCCCCCCCCTTGATGAAGAAAAAGACATCAAAGAGGTTCACGTCGCCCGGATTGGCGTCACCGGGGCCCCACTCTGGAGCCAGGCCCGGGGTTGGGGCTCGCAG